CCAAAACATTTAAAGATGCAATTCTGAATATGTTAAAGATGGCCTATTAAATTTAGCAGAGTACCAGTCTGAGCTGTTCACTTCCTTATGACTGAATTCCTGAAATCCTGATCTTGCAGGTAGAATGGAAAAAAAGTGGAAAAAAAGCATAAAGCATAGTCATAAACAGCAGATGATGGGCAAAAGATAAATTGTCTTTATTTTGCAAGCTCTGCTAAGTCTCAGCAAGAACACTCCAGTAGCTTTGTGCTGGTTATCGACACATTAAGAGGAGACACAGAGGACGCTGAAGCTGAGGATTTAGCAGAAGAAAGAAATAATGGAAGGATTTAAATGGATTAAGTGGGCGATGGGACTCAGGCAGGGGGAGGTGGAGATAACTTTAGCTATCTAGTAAAGGAGAAGAAGGAGAATGATAAATGGAGTCCTGAAGCCGCCACAGATTAAATTATCTGGGTGGGAGGCAGGTGTGAATTACTGGGGAAGTGCAAACACTAAGGGGATTTTTTTTTTTATTTGCTGGTATAAGTAAAGTTCCCGTTTACATGACATGGTCACAGTAGTGCAACTGCTTGGAGCTGTGTGCACCCATACAAGTGTTATCTAAGGATTGCAGGGTAATTCTTAGCACAAGAAAAGGAACTTCCAACATTTCACTGGGGACTTGGAAGTGAAACAGGAGAGCATGGAAAGGTCAGTATCCACAGACATATGAAAAGGGCATTAATCACCATGGTAAAGACTTGCTGTAAGGGCAAAGATTGAAAGTAGTCTGAAGAGAACCATACAGCAAATAGACATGCTGAAAATGTTGGTAGAAATCAATTACATATTATTTCTGTATTCATAACATCAACAGTTTTGCAGTCTCACTGCTATGAGTCTCATTTTGAAATACTTTTGCAGTTATTTTCATACCTATTTATTTCTCAAGTGCTAAGCGTCTGTTTGGTGGATGAGAGTCCATTATCATATCTACAATGTTTTGTTTCAGTTTTTTTTCCCTCCCATTTAATCTCAAATAGATTGATCACGATTACCCTTAGAGTGAATGAAAATGAATAGGTTAAGTTCATTTTTTTCAGAAGTTGAGTCACATTCTATCAAAAACAGAAAATAAAATAAATCAATGCCTTCCTAATTAAAAATGATGAATTATGTCTCTCCATTAATCTCATGCTAATATTTCTGTAACAGACTTTTTTCCCCTACTTTGTCAAGCATTCCCAGTTTCAGAAATCACTGTTCTACTAAAATTTCACAGACTTTCATTCAATAACTTGGACACACTTTCTACTTTGCAACTCTTAAGTGAACAAAGCAGCTATTTTCAAGTGTTAGCATCATCCAGGTATTCTCTTGCACTATAGTCAGAGCATTAAGTTCAGTGAGAGAGGATTAAGTGTTTTACTACTAATTTGGAGTCTTATTATTGTAGGTAATAGCACTCTTGTGTATCAACTGCTAGACACAGACCAAAGTCAGGTGTGAGAAATATATAAAGCAATGTAGACAACAACAGTTGACCCAACTTTATCATCCAGGAAGACTGTATACATTCATTTAGTAGAAATATTTTTTATTTCCAGCTTTCATACTTGCTACTTTCCTGTGTCTGATCTGTTCACCCTAACCACCTGCATGGGCTGGTGACATTCTTTAGCATTTTGCCTGCATTCTCTTGGGTTTACAACCACCAGCTCCACTGCTAGTTAGCTTGATTTTTCTAAACACTCCTTGAGACCCACCCACACCATGAAGAGTAAATCTCTCCAAAGGAAATCAATTTATATTTAATTGGGAAATATAATTATGCGATGGCATTAGGTCCTTGCTGAGTGCTGTAGATTAGATAGATTAATCAGATGCTCAGAAAGTAGGCTGCTGATACTGGAAGGGCAAAATTTGTTTGCAGCATACAGACAATTCTGAAACTGCTAGTCATATCAAGAGCGATTTGAATTGGTACTTTCAAAGAGAACACTTACGAAAAGTTTTAAGCCAAGCTGAAGAGCGCAAAATAGTATAAAATCTTAGTAAGCACAGCATCACCAGATACTGAGTGACAGCTCAAATATTACCTCTGTAAATGTATAATTGGGTAATTCATCTTTGAGTATCACTATTAGCTCTATTAAAATGGTAATCAACTCAGGTTATCAGATTCCTAAACTCCTTGAAACCAATGTCTGTTTTTGTACACAACATGTGGGTAGAAGAGATAAGGGGAATTATGACAATACAAAGCAAGTGTTTTAAGAACGTGGGATCCAGATTTTCCTTAATATAGTTGAGGCCTGAGAAGGAACAATTTGCTGCACTGGAAGAGGACAAGACCCCAATGTGAAATCAGTCCTCACCATGTCTGTCACTTCCCCAGAGCAGGGAGGACATGGCAGCAGTAGCCCTCATGGGTATGGAGTCAGAGAAATGAGTGTACATAATTATGTTCTGATAACAGAGCCAGATGACTCAAACACATGTTGCTGCTGTTCTTCCCAGGAGCGTAGAATATTTAGACCTCACACAAAAAGAAATGCATGACAACTGTCAGCGTGCTGGTTTGTAAGCAAGGCACATTGTCTCCTGTATGAAATCTGCTTCATTAAGAATAGCATCAGTGTGACATTTATGTTTAATCCTAATGGCTGCATAATTATTAATTACAGTAGCTACAGAAGTAAAATCTCAAGGAAGCAGGAATTTGTCATACACTTCACAACTGCCATCTACTTTCAGAGTACCTTACCCAGGGAAATAAAATCATTTAAGCATTACCTTTGGAAAACTCATCACTAGTGTAGAGATTTTGCCAGCGTTAGCGAATATCAGTCAGTCAAGAAACACTAGGCTTTAAAAATAAAGTACATTCATTTGAAATGTTATCATGATTCATTTAAATCCAAACATACTTTGAGCTATCAAGATGTTTAATGTACATTAGAAAGACTTTGCTCAACACTGGACCAAATGCTGTCTCATAGAAATCATGATTTCTCGTCAGTAACCATTACAGAAAATTATGTTCTGTTTCTAATAGTATCTAGCCAATTTAAGTTAAATCTTATTTATTTCAAATATTCCATTTGAATTGGACAATGAAATAAAACTAAAATGTTTTTGATCAGTTTCAGATTTGAGCTGTGCTCATTGCAATTGGAAAAACCTTGTATTAGCAAGTCAAGGTAGAAAAATTGAAACTGCCAACCATACAAAGTAATTTTCACAGTGAGCTTTTCAAAATGATAGAATACTTCGAAGAGTTCCTGATGCATTTCAAAATTGTCAACATTTACACACACTGTTGCTATTTCTTTATTCTTTTTGCTGCGTTAAACAGGTTATATACTTAGAGTAGAAGCTGAAGTAGTGGGGTTGGTAATTCAGTGTTTTTTTCATGCTGAAGTAAGGAGCCAGATAAAAGACAAAAAGATAGAAGCGAATAAAAATGGATTAAGCTACATTAATTGTTCTCAGAGTGGCAGTCTGAGAAACATATAAAAAGTACCATAATGCCACTTTTAATAGCCTTTATATTAAAATCGGTATTTTAAAACCTCTTTGAAGTTCTTGATTTTTAAGAACAACAGCTGTATTCGAAGGCAACCTTCAGCTAACCTTTACACTTCCACTTACATACATCAAGGAACCATATTTTAGTAGTAGCCTGTGTGGTTTAACCCATGCTTACCTGTGTAACTGTGAAATATCTCACCATCCTTTTGGACTGTCAGTGTATTAAAAGCTGAATGTGAGACTCTGGATTTGTATTCTAAATAACAACGTGCATATTCATGTGTAGTTGTTAACATATACAACATATACAAGTGCATATGTATATTTGTGCCAGAGGGATCTATATGAACAGGAGCTTAATTTATGTTTATCTACCCACAGAAATGTGTATTCCACTATTAGGACCCAAATTGTACCGTGAAACAATGCCTGCATTGAAGATACCCTGAAACACAGTTAGAGATACCTACTATAAACTTATTCATAGATTTTTAAAAATATTTAGCTATGTAAGAATACTATGAATCTTTACTGAAACATAGAGCCCTTTAAAACTTCATTTAATATCAAATTTCTTCTACCATAGGCTGTTAACAATAGAAATAGGGAAACTTTACAAACTGCTGGGTAGAGAGAAAAGAGTGCTAGCCAACAAATCTTTGCTTAGGAAAGTCTGCTCTGTAATACACTCACACGAGCACTGTAAAATTGAGAAATGCACATGAATGTTCTCTCAGAGAACATCCCTAGACATAGTAAATAAATGTGGTAGGCAAAAATATATCCTTGAGGAAAAAAGAGCATGCACATCAGCCAGGAATCATACAGCCTTGCAGTTTCAAGGACAAGGAATTTTAAAGTTATTTTTATTTTCTTAAAAGGTACTTGGGCAGCTCTGGGAGAGATAGGCAAGTATTTTAATGGGCTGTAGATAACAAACAGGAAAATCTGGGTTGTTTTTTTTTTTTTTTTTTTTTTTTTGATGGCCATTAAAAGATCAGTAGGGCTGCTACAAGGGTTTCTGTGGAAAAGCTGAGTACTAATATCCCGAAGGTCTTCAGAATCAGAAAATTGAGATAGAAGAAAAGTCTGCAAGCTTTTGCAGGGAGAAATGAAGCCCACACTGAAGAATATGGATGGATTTGGAAGGTTTTGCAGTAAAGATGAAACAACTGTGATTAATGGTAAGAAATAAGATCACAAAAGGGTAAATTGAATAACACCAGTTATACGCTCTGTAAAGAGTTCCAGGACATGAAAGACAGTATGGTGAAAAGGAGGACAGTGTAGGCTTTAATTAAACACAGAGCATGGAACTGGCCCTCTAAATCAATCTTTATTTCTAGGAGGCAAGAAAGAGCACCGAGTTGTGCAAATGTGTGAACAGAATTTCGGGTAGCAGCCACACAGATTTGTCTGAGGAAACACTTCAACAGATGCCAAGTAGGCCTACTACTCCTTATGTTCATCTCGAAGGGGGGGGGGGGGGGGAAATAAGTTACTTAGCTGTATCCAAGAAAAGTTAAAAAAAAAAAATCTTGATGTATAAAGCTTGAAATTTATATTTTTCCTGGGATGCAAGTGAGGTATTGGGGGAAAAAAAACAACTAATGGTTTGATTCAGATGGGACTTGCACTACTACTGAAGGATAGTTTTCTTCCCATGCAAAGAGAGGTATATAGCAAGGGCAAGAGAAGTAAACTGCAGTTAAAATATTGATCCAGCTTCTCATGCCATTTAAACTTGTCTACATCTACAAACATGGGCAAAACCATTATTACTTCACATTAGCCAAGGATCTTAGTCCATCACCTTTAGTGCTGTAAAATGACAGTCTGCCAAAGACTAGAAAATATGCTCATCTTTTAGCAAAATCATATCAGAATCATAACAGAACAGAATTCTGCCTGGGTGATAAACCATCATTCAGTTTTCTCAGGGAGTCAAAGAGGCTCTTGGTGATGACATTTGACAATGCTTGTTTTTTAAATAGTTGAAAAGGGATTACTGAGAGGGTTTGGTGTTTGCTGGTCAAATCTCTGCATCTCCCTGATTTTCAGATCAGTATTTCAGTTAGGTTTGTTTTCCCCATGAGCCTTGTTCTGACATAACATGGCAAAACCATGATCAAAAGTAGCTAGAGGTCCATGGATGAAGAACTCCAATCATGCCAGGAAGAGACTGGACTGGGAAGCAGATGGAACTAAGATCAGACAAAATGTTCTAGCAATGGCAGCAGGAGACTTGGCAGTTCCCATAAAATACATTGTAAATCTATTAGACTTATATGGATTGGGCTGTAGTAATAAGACATTAATCATCTCTAATCCAACAGAACAAGGATCCTCTATGATTGGAACATATATTTATACCTCTTTCTGGGTCTGCTCCAGAGCAAAACCACCCTTAGATGATGTTAATGCAGCTTCCTGTTATAAGCAGTACGGGTAAAAGAACAGTTCCACATCTGAACTCACATCCAACATTAGTTCTCTCAGCAGATTGTTGGCTTTGCACCTCCTGGATGCAATGACAGTTGTTTGCCACTTTCTAAATGGATTGATAAGGCATCTAAAGAAAACAATTGCTGTTTAACCCCTCATGTTTCAGGCTGCAGAGCACATAGAAATACATACGTGTATAAAATCACATCTCAATTACATTGATCTTTCACGTCTTAAGTTCTACTTATCTAATGGCACAGCTGTTTTTGTTCCTGCCTCCAAAAACGTTTTCCATTCTTTGAAAAAGTACTTCCTCTTAAATCTTTTCTCGCCATAGAGGACAGAGCTAGAATTTGTAAACCTATCACCTCCGATCAGACCAGTAGCTATGTGCTGGATCATGCAGAAGTGGAGGATAATAATATGCACTAGTAAGTACAGAGACAAACACTTTAAACAAGTCGCTACTGAAGTTATATTAAAGCAACAGAAGGATAAAACACTGTTTCCTACAGCTTTGTTTTATTAAAGAGTGCAATAATCAAAGGTTCATACATCAGCTACATAATCCTGTGTGAACCGTCTGGGGTTCAGTTCACACTGAAACCCTTTCCTTCAGCCAAGACATTTTCTCCATTTTTTTTTTTTAATTAAAAAAAAAAACTGTCATCTACTTCCACAGAACCTGCAAGAATTTTGCATTACTGGGGCTATTATCATTCAATCAGAACTGATTTAAAGTGGTTAATGGATTCACAAGTACTGAACAGAAGACTGGCAGACACACATGAAGAATGCTTGATTGCACAAGATAGGAATATTCATTAAAAAGAAAAAGCATACCCATAGAAAGTCCTCCTTTTCAAGGGAAGTATCAACACATATTTCCCAGTTTCAATACAAGTAAAATGTTGGAATATAAGGCTGAAGAAGTGTGAGATTACGTAACAACAAATGATCATTTGGGGTACTGAATCCATAGCAGTATGGAAGTATTTAAAGGAAGAGGTTAAGAATTCCTCTCAAATCAGTTTTTTATGTGAATTACTGGCTTGTCAAAGAGTTCTAAAATATAAACTTAGATTTTTACATTTGCAGAATTTAAAGATCATACCTAAATCTTTTGATTACCTTTTCCCCTAAAGAACACAATACACTTGTTATTGTGCAGGATGTGAATTGAGCCTTTATTGAGACTGTTATGTCTCTGACACCACCATTAGACATCCCAGCTTTTTTAAAAATAGTAACCAAACTTTTTATCTAATGAGTACATCATGTAATGTCATTATGAGAAATGCAGTAGTGAGATGAGCTTTCTAAATCATTTTAATGGCTAGATCTCATAAATCAGACCTTACAACTACAGTTATATCCAGTGGTTTTTAAGTAGCAGAGGATGAGTAAAGACTATTTGTCAAGAAAAAACCCTTTCTTCCAAAGGAAAAGTCTCATCCAGCTAAATGAGTAGTAATTTGTGGAAATAATTATGCTTTTCTGCTCTCTTTGCATAATATGGGGCAAAGAATTTCAGCCAGAATATTTGACATCAATTTTGTTACATTTAATTGAATGGTAAAATAAATGGAAAGAAAAGGTTTCTTCCAAAACAATCAATGTTACTAGTTACTTGGGCTTTATGAGTTTTCTTGCAGGGACAGGCGACTTAATGAAATACAGGTTAAATAGCTTTTCCAGGATGTAAAGAATACTTGGAGAACAAAGTAAAATTCCCTTCTTTCCATTTGTCTTGCAACAACAGAAAGTTTCAGTTTTCAAATAAGCGATTGTAGGTATTCTCAGACGCAAGACATTAAGAGTGTATGCTCATATATGCTTTAGGAATTACATTTTTCCACTATTTGGTATCTTCAGTATCTTCCTGGAGCATACAGAAAAGCCTTCTGGAAAAGTAATCTAGAAGAAAAAGTATTTTGTGGATCTAAAATTCCCAAGAAAAACAATGAATTGTTTCCCTATCTACAGAAGTAACTCCTGAACATGACTAAGAGACTTAAAGCTTGATTTTTATTAATCTTTCTGGCAATGACTTGCTTTATATTCCACAGGTGGTTCTACTGGAGTGAGGTATTATATACTCAGTCCTAACATAATGGGCTTTTAGACCTTATTCCTAACTCAATTTCAAGTTATTTAAGTAGGATATTGAATATATGAACACTTATGCAAAAGAAAAAGTGGAGAGTTGCAATAGAATTCAATTTGGCTTTTCCACCAACAGCAGAAATCAGTGAAACAGATTTTCATATGCTGTGCCCTTCCAAAAGATTTCCAATTTTAGGCATTATGTAGTATGGCTCATGTGAAAAGACCAAATTAAAGCTGTGTTACAACACTTCTTGTCCTGGTCAGTCAGTATGTCAAACAAAAATATTATTTCAAAAGAAGAATGTTTTATTCCATGCTGTCTGAAGTTTTTTAGAATCTGTGTAGAACTTAAAAGACACAAGTGAATCCAAAGTAGGATTGAAATAATTCCTTTGCCTGTTGGTTACCTACTTGATCTTCTGTTTCCATGAATCCCAAAAACTTGCTTAAAATTGCAGGCTTCCAAAGATGTGGTCTTTCATTCTCAGAAATGCCTGGCAGAAACATAAGTTAGGCTGTTTTTAAATAAACATCTGCCTTCCAAGGAAATTACTGCATTTAAAAGACAAGTTTCTAGTTGTGAAACTAGTACTTTTTGGTTCAATAAGTTGCTGATGAATCTCAAAAAAAAAAAAAGCACATTGGAATTTTTCAGATGCCTTACCTGTTCTGCTGAAGAAGGTAGTTTATGTATCACAAGGTCTTGCTTCTAATTCTTGAATCTAACCAGTGAAATCAGAAAATTAGTAAAAACTATTTTAATTATATCTCAGAGGACAGTAGAAGGCATTATGTGCTCCTTCTCTGTAGAATTGTGGCAAGAGCAAGGGGGCACACAAGATGAAGACTCCTTTTGTATGCACTATTGAATCTCAGGAAGAAAAAGCTGTTGGTGTAGCTCTGTACACCCTTCCCTTGCAGACACCAAAGGTCATCTCTTTCCTAATAGAATTAGGCAGGGAGAAGCATGATTTAGATGAAGACTGGCTGGTTTGGTAGGTCCTCGTTGAAATAGATTAGCAAGATTAGCAACTCAGCCCTAGTTCCCCACTCTCCTGCTGTAGTCTATTCCCCAGCCTGCGGTTTCAGAGAATCACAGAAACACCAAGATTGGAAAAAAAAGACCTACAACATCATCCAGTCCAACCATCCACCTATCACCAATAGTTCTCAATTCTCCCCTGCTGGCTGCCTTGCAGCATTTTTTCAGCAGTAGCATGACTGCCACTTTGCAACCCTGCTGTATAGTGTGGCACTCAGCAGAAGCTGGTGGGAGTCACGAATAGGTTTACATCTGCACCTACAGCACTGGTATCACTAGCCATGAGTAACAGATTCCTTCCAACAGTTTGGCCCCCTGAAATTCTGATAAGCAGCAGGCTTTTTTTAGGCTGCCACGCTGCACAGAGAGCAAGGTCTTTCAGGGGAAAGACTAGTGGCAAAGAAAACACAATTGTGCTATTCAAAACATGTGAGGAATGAAGTACAATGGTCTGTTCCTCCCACTCCCCACAGGATTTCATCAGAACTGCAGCCAGCTCAAGTCATTGATCTGGGGCTGCAGTCTTCTTGGAAGGTAGTCTAAAGAGCAGATAATTCATTTCTTGAGGAATTAAAGCCTCTTTCAAACCTCTGGGCTCTCCACTATTCAAGCACCTTTGACTTTTTTTGGCACTCTTCACTTCCTAGAGCTACACAACCTTAACAAGCTCATTCAAACATTTTCCCCTGAGGAATGCTGAGTGAGATGCTCATTACAGATGTTATCATGCAATTTTACCTTCCACTGAAATACAATAATGTACTACATATATTGGTGCACAAGTAATTAAAATTGTCCTTTATTTGTTAGATTCCAGAGTTTTGTGAATTCAGGTCTTTATAGTCATGCTTTGAGGACCACAAAATATTTAATTTCTAAATTTCTATGGCTCCTTTCAGAAAGCCTTCCTAATGACGCTCAGCTGATAATGTTTTGCGTTAGGAACATCTTGAAAGAAAAATATTTCCATTACATTTTCTGTATTTTTTCTTTGCCCTAATCAACCATCTTTATTTACCATCTAAATAGTTTATCTCTCAGATTCTTTTTTCATGTCTTATGACTTATTTAGATGAGCAAGTGATGATATTCACCTCAGAATCTTAGCTCATTTCTATGATAGCTAGCAAAGAATCACCTACATAAGATTTTAAATAGTACTTTTTGTGATTCATCAGTTCATGACATCCATATATCATTACTACTTACAATAATTTGACAATAAAGATTTTAGTCTACATTAGAAACTGCAGGTGAAAGGAAAAAAAAAAATATTAAAAAAGAATGAGAAAGGATCTTAAAGTTATGTATCCTACATATTTTCCAGACAGAAGATTGGAAGATCTCCAGTGGAATCTTTATTTAATTCAAATAGTGGAGACTGCACAACTGCAGTTGCTATTTCTCTTTCATACAAATGAAAATCTGACCTTGAAAAAAACAACATCTAAAGAGGCCTTTATTTTTCCCCTTAAAAATACAAATAAATAAGCTTTAGTAACTTGTGATTGTTTTGCTCATTAGTCAGTCTTAAATTTTAAAGTAATCAAAGCTGTAACTTTTCCTTTGATGCTTTTGAGCGAGAAAAGAAGATAACAAAAATAATTCAATAATGTACTTGTCAACATTTTTCTTCATGTGGTTGAATCTGTCTTCAGCATACGAGATGAGATCTAAAGAGTCACTATTCAGATCTGCAGAATTCAAACAATGTTTGAATTCCAAAAGGTTTTCCTTGTGCCGACAAACATACAACTCGCCCCAAAAGGCAAATGGTACATGGCAGTACTTGGAAGACATACGAGGTTCCAAGGTTCCAAGCAAAAAAACTGGATAGAAAGATTTATCAGTCTAAGGTTTGAAAATACTGTATAGTGATGGGAAATTGATTATAAATACTTTCTTAAGGAGACGTCTTAATGCAGGAAGTCAGTCAGTAGTTCCTCAGAAAGCTTCACAAAATAAGTTACAGTAACACTCTTCAAGGTGGCATTCTTTTATAATACAAAGAAACCGTCACACTAAAAATATTCCAGAACACTAACTTACACATACTCAATAGGTACAATCCTTTCTCCACCCACTTAGCATTTAGTTTTACTATAGCTTCAACCACAGAAGTCTTACAATCCACTCTGATACCTTCCTTGCCACACCTCTTATCCTTCATGTGCTTCCCACAGATACTCCTACAGCATCACTCAAACTTGTACTGGAGCCAGCGTTGTGCTGAAATACCCCAAACCCCCTCCCTCCTCCCCCCCCCTCCCCCTGTATTTATTTATCATTAGTTATTAGCTCTGTATTTATTTATCATTAGTTCTCATGAAAACCTTTTTGTATTCCTACAGAATCAGTAGCATCACAGAATATCCCACGTAGGAAGAGACCCACACGGATCACCGAGTCCATCTCTTGGCTCCACTCAAAATTCAAACTCTGTGTCTGAGAGCAGCGTCCAAATACTCCTTGAACTCTGGCAGCTTGGAGCTGTGACCACTGCTCTGGGGCATTTTGAGGCTCTCTTTGCTTTTGCCACAGTGTAGAAGGAAATTCCCTTACAAACTTTCCACAGGTTTAAATAATATTCTTCAAAAAGTCTCTAATTATATTTTATCGAACAGCAGAAATGTTGTTCAATAAAATCTCCTCTTGTTTACTGCATTGCAGCTGAACTTTGTGAAAGACCAACAAAATTTGTGTACCCGTACAGTATAAATTCAAATGGAAGAAATGATAGACATACTCACATATAAACTCTGAACTTCTCAGCTTCCTTAAACAAGATGCTTGCTGTCCCTATTATCTTTAGGAGAGGTTGTTTCTTGCTTTGGTAGTGGCTGTTTATATGGTAATGTTAACCGAGATTTGATCTTTCTTCTGATTTTAACTACACTTGACATAGTTTGTTTTTTTTTTTTTTAAATTCCTCACTGCTGTTGTAAGACAGCTTTACTGTAGACTCTGCTAAGTGATATTTTTCCCTGATGGAAACATCACAGTTAGGGGTCTAATAAGGTCAGATATTTCCTGCTGCAGCTCTGGAAGTTCAAGAACTTCCCATCAGTTTTATTTGTATTTTGTTTTCAGAAAAATTTTCCCTAGAAAAGAATGCAGACCATAAAATTAACTCATGATACACAGCCAAACAAATCTTCAGGAATTGTTTAATGAAAAAAAAAAAACCCTGTCATTTTCACTTTACTTTTGCTAGTTATTAGCAGAATCCATACAATCGTAATATTTTTAGGTTAATTTATTTCTTTACTTCAGTTTCCTCTTCAGTTTCAGAGGACCATAGCATAAAATAGTGCACAGCTGGAAAAGATGACGTGAATTATAGAATCAAGTATCATATTACAAATAATCCCATCATTTATCTTCCATCCAGTTTAATGTGGTGAGGTGTATTTATGTGCAGATGCAAGAGTGCACAGAGGGATCATTTTGTGTAGACTTTGTGATACTAAATCTTTGAAGTTGCTCAGCATTTTCAACAAACTAAGGGGCACCCGGGAGTATTCATTTCTTCTCAAGGTCCTACGAGGATACTCTACTGTGTGTGTAATACAGACAGAACTTTTGTTTTTGTTAAAGGAGTTTTTTGCTTCTGATTTCCAAAGCAAATGCATTTTCATTTCACTGGTCATTCAATATTAGATATATATCTCACAACAGCAATAAAAGACATTACCTTAGCACCTTGGCAACTTCTCCACTGATTTGGTTCAGTTTTGTTTTCAAACACAAAATTTAAAAGTAATGTCAAAGGAAATAAAATAGTTTTTAAATATTGTGTGTTTACAGTATTCTTTATCAGTTTGGGTGCGTGTCCTTACCACTGATGATAAGGCTCTTGAAAGAACAATACAGAAGGCTGAAGATGGCTGAATGACTTTCTTTATTTTCTTATTTATATATAAATTCTATCCTTTTTTAGCATTACCTAATTTGTGCAAAAATATTTGATTTGGTCATGTTAGATGTATGTGTCCAGTTTACTGCAGTATTCTCTTTGTTCCTATGCTTTCCACTTGTAATTTGTTGTTGTTCATTCCACTCCAGTTCTATGGGAATTAATATTTTTTCCATGAACTTTCCTTTGGACAAAATTTTGGTTGGATGGATAATATTGTAATTATCAGAAAATTAATTTTTATTGCTAAAAATAATACATAAAAATGACATTAAATTCTTTGTATGTGATCAAGAAATCCTGAATATTTTTTCTGTGTGTTTTTTAAGCCTTTCCGAAGAAATGCTGGTGGTTTTCGTATGCAAGACAAGCCTTAGTGTTGACTGTATAAATACGTCTATTCTTATTCTGATCAGAAAGTGAGTTCATTATGCTTTTATTTCTGCTTGATTTTAGGGAGCAGAAATAGTGCCTCAGCAGAAAGAATTGAAAACTTCGGCTGTTACGTTATCTGCTTTCTCTGAATACAGCACACAGTTATGTGCTAGCTAAAATCACAATTCACTGAAGATATGTGTACTAGTGAGCTCCTTTCATTGTTGGTTCTGAAGGTGTTTATGGACTAAATGGAAGAATGGCAGTTTTAATCCTCTTCTGCTTTCCTTCATTAGACAAAATAATTTAGAGATGTAAACAGACTTTCTACCATCATGACCTAAAACCCAGTGAAGTCAGTAGGAGCCTTTCCAGTTATTTCAATGGGTTTTGGATCAGGCTGAGGTAGAGAAGGCTCTAACTGATAGGGGATTATCTCTTCTGTGTTTGTTTTGTATACTGTATGGATTAAACCTCTAGGCTGCACTACAAGATAAAATAGGAAGAATACTACATGTGTGCATCTACCAACTAGACTAGCTTTGAAACTTACATTCTGGTTACTGTGCAACTTGTAGAATTGAAGCGATTCTATTTTATCTTACTACTACATCATGAATTTGGTTTACATCATTTTAATAATTAAAACAAATGTTCAGAATCAAATGTATTTTGTACTCTGTATTATTAGGTACAGATCCACTAAGAGAGCCAAGGACAGGATAAAAGCATCTAGATTTCAAGTTCGTATATTTTGAGAGTAAAAAAAATCTGACTTTCTCATCCTCATTCTTTAGAAAAATCTGCAGTATCTCAACTAAAGATTCAGGAATGTAAAGTCCCTGGTTCTTGGTCATTGATGAAGTTCATTGTTAATTATTTAAACACTTATGTGTGCTGCCATACCATGTTTTGGGATTAAACAGCCACCTGTCTTTAAAATGTCATATATGTACATTTGTCAATGAATAAAGAAAAAGTGAACACATTACTTTTAGAGTTTATTTGACTTTTCTTTTGTTTTTTTTTTTTTCCTTTTGTATACTTGGGAGTCTGGTATGTCCTATAAGACGACAGTTAGTTTTGCAAGAAGCTAGCTGGCTATGCTTTTCATGTTATTTCATATTTATATACTGCCTGCTATCCCAAGGAGTCCTAGACCTAATTTTCAAAACTAACTGCATACAGCAAAAGTGAACTGCATCTGCCCTGTTGTAAAATTGCCAGATAAAAAGCACAAAGTAGAGAGCACAGCTGAGGAGAGAAATGACAATTAATACCATTTAGAAAAATGCTGGGGCTTTTAAAATGTTCTTCTGTATTGTCCTCACAGTGGCCAAAAGACAGCAAAATCAGTCATCAGTTCCTGTCTTGAGTTATCCAATCAAGTACTTATCTGATCTTAAAAGCAGAGCTGAAGGTATGCAGGTGTGTGGGGGGACATGTGTATGGTGACAGGGAGTGTTGCTGTGTTGGTGTTGAGTTGCCAGCTCCCTGCTTCAGAACGCTGGGTGAGGTGCCAAATTCTCTGTATGGCCAACATATGGCCAGAGTGAAACTTCTGAGGAGGATGCAAAGCAGTGTCTGTGCTGAGCAGGAAGAAGCTTTAGTTGCTTTGATGCAAAGTGCTGGCAGGAGGATAGCTTAAACTTCTCTCCTCTTGGGTTTTTACCCATAGGTTTTCCTTATGTGACTTAGAGAATTTTAAGGAGTCTAAAATTGCTTGCGCAGCTGGAGCCTCAGAAAAGTGGAGATCTACCTTCTACTTGGCAGGAGAGGGCTGTAATTACTGAGATACTGCTTAGACTGTCATGCAGGAGGTGGGAAATGTTCCTTATTCTTCAGCCTGGAGAAAGGAGAAAATAGACTGAGATCTGTGGGCTGTGGCTGAAGGCACCTATCCACAGGGGACAGGCTGGAATGTTGTCTCAAGACTCTTTTATGCATTTTTAGTTATAAACAACAACAAAATGCACACACAAAGCCCTGCTGTAGGGATACGTATTTCTAGATAAATGGGAAGATAGGTCCTATCTCCTGGATATTTCATTCTCACAGTCTGTCACAGAGAATGAGATCCTTTCCCTTGCATCTTCATCCACTTGAAATGTAAGTCCCTGGGCCAAGCAGTCGTTTAGGATCTGTCTAAATCTGTTTGAGCTCTTTCCATAAAGAGAAATATGCCTGAGAGATGCATTTTGCTTAGCTTAGACAATTACCTTTGGGTGGAAAATCTGTATGGATGCTCTTCCCTCTCTGCCCTCCTATTAACTCTGAGAAGAAGTCAGACATCCATCATGAACCCTACACCAGCTGATGGATCCCCTCTCTGGAGACTGTTGCTATCTCAGCTATTATTCTCCACTTCCTCTTTATAAGTGCTTGTTTTTGTCTTTTTTTTTCCTCTGGGTTTTTTTTTTTTTTTTTTTTTTTTTTTTTTGTTTTGTTTTGTTTTGCTTTGTTTTGTTTTGTTTTCTGCCTTTCAGAATATATTTGAAAACAATTTCCTAGCAGCATGACATCTTTGTGAATTGCAGGGAGATCTTGATATTCTGTTTTCTGAAATCTGTTTTCTGTGGCTCATTTGCCTGTTCACATTTAGGCAAGTAAGTTTTATTTTCAGCTGAGGTTATGCAGAAGTGTTGTGATGACAAATGTAATTTAGAAACAAAGCCTTTGTGCTGAAGGCATTATCCATTAGAAATCTACTTTGATTCTCATTTTTCCTAAGTTTACCCAGCTGATTTGAATATTTAAAAGCTTAGCGTGACTTATACTTCTATGTACAAAGTCTATAGAAAAGTCCATCATTCCAGTTGGTGAACAGAAGAAATATTTGATGTGTGAAATTGCCCATCTTATGATTTAGAAACTTAAACTGTATCCTTTGGATATTCATTGTTCAATATTGGTATTGAACCTTTTTGCAGAGGATTAAAAAGTTAAAAAATGTTAAATTTGTCAGAAACTTATAATGGGCAACATGATCAGCTTTGAAAAGCTAATTCTAAATGCTATACTAAACATGCTGCTGTAAATAAACTGATGACTGGCTGCAATATTGTCCATACCTCTAAATAGAGCTCTGCATAGCCAATACATTTCTGTTGCCTTGAAAAATCCTTTTAAAACAAAGCAAATGTTGAAACTTAACTAAAGATGAAAGTGAATTCTACGATCAAAAAAAATCCATTTTATTGTATCTGGAAATATTAACAATGAAGAAGAGTCCTCAGTTACAAAGAGAGTTTCCTATAATATGGACTGCAATACTGAGTGATTTCTGTTTACTAATGTTATTGCAGTGTTTACATTTACTTACAGTACCTATGCTTAAGAATATGAAATTCTCAGAGAAAAGAGCAAAGAACAATTTGTTGATGATTTGGATAGATGTTAAAAAAAAATAAAAAACCACCTGTATGCATGGTTATCTGTAGATGATTGTAAAGGGCTAACCAGCATATTTTTAAACTGAAGTCACAATATTATCCTGAAATGCAGCACTTTATGTCTGCCAAAATACTCACTGTGACAAGAAATAATGGGCTGAAAC